CCAATATGCTTGGAAGGCCCCAGAGTGGAGGAGGATGGTCTAGAGAATCTTGCTCTGTAAGAGAGAGATTATATGTAGAATATTAGCATTATTGTTTGTTATGTTACTTTCTCTCTCTCTCTCTCTCTCTGTTTAAAAATGAACATCTTTTCCTCAGACTGTAGATCATATGATCCATGATAAAATCCAAAATATAACCTTCCAGTTTCTTTTCCCACTCCTGTTGTTATAGCTCTGAGATGTTTTGTGACTGATTGACAAACCTTTCGGTTGCACATGAGCTAAAAATAGCAAGGACTGAAATAGAAAGACTGTATGGTCAAGCATGGACGTCACTCTGGGTATTTTGGGGGATATTAGTTCCTAAAAGAAATAAATGGCATTTGAAATGTTCTAAAGAAGGTGTTTCTTTCTTTTTTGTGAACATTATAAGATAATCTGTTCCCAAACCACAGGTCCACAATATAGACCAAGACACCAGTCCTTGAGGGGACAATTCCAGCTTGCTCCTCGGTAAGTAAGTTCTGAAGAAAAGAGATAAGGGAAAGAAACCCTGCTTTAACATCTGTATGAAGAGGTCATCTATTGGTTCAGGTGAGATATCATCAATACCCTGATGATACTCAGCTGTACATCTTTAACCTGGGCCAAGCTGCAGGTGCTATGAAATTCTTGACCTGGTAGTTGAAGGCTGTTCAGATATGGATGGGATGAAACAGGCTGAAGTTGAACTCAAGCAAGATAGAGTTATTGTTTGTACAGAAGGGATCTCTGTCAGCTCCAGTGATAATTCTTGAATGGGTGGCACTCCTCCGAAAGAGCAAATTCATGACTTCCAGATCCTCCTGAACTGATGACTATTACTAGATAAATACATGGAGGCTTTGGTCCAGGGACCTTAGCCCAGCTTCAACAGGGGGTTGGAGGCCCTAGCCATAGTAACTCATGCCTTTATCCCTACATGTTGTCTTATGCTCTACATGCAGCTGCCCTAAAGACCACTCAGAGACTGCCAATAATACAAACTCTGGTGGCCTAGATGGTAGAGCAGTGTTTCTCAACCGTAGCAACTTTAAGATGAGTGGACTTCAACTCCCAGAATTCCCCAGCCAGCCAAATGGTCCACACATTAAAATTGCTGAGGTTGAGAAACACTGCTCTAGATACTAGTTTAGCCCCCTCACTGTTACCATTCCAGAGGCTTTTAAAATGGCTGTTCCTGAGAGGCTTTGAGAAGTGAATGGTCACCGTTGCACCTGTTGTATTATGGAAGATTTGTTTTATCTTGATTTGGGGCTTTTACTATGTTTTATGCTTTTATGATGGAAGAATTGTTTTCTGGGAAGGAAGGAGAATTGGTACACCTCTTTTGCAAAGGAGCCCTTCGTTTTCGTTATTTTCCTTTGCTTTGTGTGGAAAGAGCATAACAGAAGCACAAGAGCATAATAGGGACACTGTCTGTCAAGACAAGGATTAAATAATACTGCTGTCCTGGGGCTGTGCAATTCCTGTAAGGAGATGTTTCACAATATGTGCAAAGCAACTCTTTTCAAATTGTTGAAGCAGCTACTGTGCATCTTTTTTTAGGCTCACGTGGCTTTCTCAGAAGCTGCTTCTAGTTGCCTCCGCTTTCATGTGCATGCACAGCCAGATGAAAGTACCTTCCAAAGGAACTATACAAGCCTGGGGAAGGACATAGCTGCTTTAATGATCATGTTCTAATGCTCCTCTTTGAAAGCATTTGCACAGCCCTAGCAAGAGTATCTCTCGTTTGGTTTTCCTTGCCCCATCTACTAACAACCTTGGCTCAGGCATTCCATCTAGGGAGCCTTTTTGATTCAGTTTATGGGACTATGGATAATAACAGAAAATATGATGAACATACCAAGGTAGATCCACAGTGTCTTTAACGTTACTTCCTATTTTTGAAAAGCAGGGGTCAAATTCTCTCATATATGTGTTTGCATTGGAGAGAAAAGACAAGAAAACTATTCAAAATGTTGCTGAATGATTTTTGATGCATTATCCCACTAAACTGTTTAACAGCAGTATAAAAGTTGTTCCATCATAGAGACTCAACATGCTTTCCCTACCCCCAAACTTTTAATAGTTGATTTCTCTTGCAGATGGTTTAATCTAGATCATAAAGCAATTTTAAAAAGTTGATTTCATAATAGCAACCCATACAAAGCAGAACTTTAAATTTAGATCCAGCTACCAAGATCACAGTATCAGTGCTTTTGACATCCAGTCAGATTCACTATCTGAATCTGGAATGTGTGCTGCCAGCTTTTGAAACAAAGGAGACAAATATAGTATAGACATGTAAAAATGTTGTATTTTCTTTCTTTTTATTTGCAATTGTAAAATAACAGAGATTTGTATATGCAATTTACATGCATGTAACAATGTAACGTGCATGTAACTAATGTAACAAATCATCATCATTATTATTATTATTATTATTATTATTATTATTATTATTATTATTGGTAGTCCTTGTTTAGCAACCATTCGCAGTTATGACAGTGATGAAAAAAGTAACTTTGCAACCAATCCACTCATTTATGACCTTTGTGGGTCTGTAAAGCAAAGGAAAGCTGAAGTAAGATTGTAAGCACAGTTGCAGTTTCACTTAGTGACCAAGTTTCATTTATGACCTTTGTGGGTCTGTAAAGCAAAGGAAAGCTGAAGTAAGATTGTAAGCACAGTTGCAGTTTCACTTAGTGACCAAGTTTCATTTATGACCTTTGTGGGTCTGTAAAGCAAAGGAAAGCTGAAGTAAGATTGTAAGCACAGTTGCAGTTTCACTTAGTGACCAAGTTTCATTTATGACCTTTGTGGGTCTGTAAAGCAAAGGAAAGCTGAAGTAAGATTGTAAGCACAGTTGCAGTTTCACTTAGTGACCAAGTTGCCGGTCCCAATTGTGGTTGCTAAATGACAACGATGATGATGATGATGATGATGATGATGATGATGATGATGATGATGATG